TGTCCTTCTCTATTTAACAGACTCCAGAACTTTCTAGTAGTACCAGCAGGGTTTTTTTTTTTTTTTGTCCCCCAGATTTGATATTTATATCTTTCTTAAAAGAGAACTCTGCTCCTTAAGTTAAGTGACGTTCCCACGAGCAGGGATCTTAAGGGTTATAGGCCTTTGGGAATTCTGACAGGTAACGTCTACAGGAACCTGAGGATTCTTGGCTTCACACACCTAGGGACAGTGGTCCTGGACAGTGTTTTCCCCTGACTGATTGGCTTGCCCATAGAATATTCAGATGGACACATAGAAATTCAAAGACATTTTACCACACACACACAAAATTTTAAATTGTGCCCAAGAAGGCTAACGTTCAAAAGACATTCTCTAGCAGTAGGAGTTAACCCAATAAAAACTACACAGACAACAGACAGACAGACAAAACTGAAGGCTGGTTGCTGTGAAAAATTTAGCCAATCTATGTGCATTTAGCAAATCTATTAACATTGCTATCTTTAATTACAACCATGAAATATAGAGACAATACATTTACATTCTATTATGCACCATTAGATTCTTTTTATATACTCTAAAAAGAAAAATGGGCATCATACGGCAAATCAGTAGAAGAACCATGTAGAAATCTAAATTTGCACAGTTTCTGAGTATCTGATGTAAATCGTGTCAGAATCTAGTCTTCTGTGGAATAAACAATTTGCCTTGTTGTTGAAGGATTTTTTTTTAACTTTTGGTTTAAAATTCACACTCAGTATTGATTCATCAATTCTGCTATCACTTGTTCAGGAGTTTGCAAAAGTGTATGCTTCTGTGCTGTCATGGTCCTAAATGTCAATTATGCTGCAAATTTTGGAATAAATCTCTTCAGCCAGTTTGAATCATGCAGGAGGTTAAAATATATCCTTTGACCCTCAAAGCAATAATGTAAGATTTCAGAAGAGAAATCCAATTATTGAACGCAAGGAAGAAATGGTGACTCTTTTGAAAAACTAATTCAAAAATTTTAGGATGTGATTGAAAGAAAAATGAAACTTTTTTCAAAGTTTTAAATTGCCAAGCACCCGGCTGGAGTATTGGTTTTGCTCAAGCCCTATGATTTTTGCCGATATATATGGCACGGTACGAGAGACAACTTGCACATTCTCATTCATGTCATCTCGGAAGGATACAAAAAGATACCTTTATTAGTCATTCTATCATTCCTTACATGTTGTGTTTAAAATGAAATGCAGTGAAAGCAAACTATGACAGCAAGCACTAGTCCCTGCATGAAGGCGGCACACCCGAGGAAAGAGCGGCTACAGGCGAAGAAACGTAAACTTCAGGTGTTCACAACCCCCTCATCCCCTCCATACATACTGGGAATAGTTAGGACTACCTGCCAAACTTCTAAATATAAAACTTCTCAGTGGCAGATAAAAAGTGGGGCATATTCATATTTTGATAATAGCATTAGTTTTTTTCCAAATGATTCTATTTTGAACTAGTCTGAAAACTGCATCATTAATGATCATTAGAGTTCATAAAAAATAGCTCTGGTATTGTTATTATCAAAGACCTGGGGTGATATCATGCATGCGCAGATCACTGTCCAAAACTATGACTGGCCAAAAGGTTTTACTATCTTCTGACATTTATCAGGCCACTACTTCAGATGCCTCACATAGCTGCCGACGTAACCGCTAAAGGATGTGGTATAAAGTGAATAAAATACAGTCTACCGATCCCGGGTCTCTTCAGAAGAGGCCATCAGAGATTCTCGGAATGACATCTTCAAACAGGATACCCTCAGGCTTGATTTCTGAGCTGAGGGCAGATCCTTAACTTCAGGCTTTGAAACTGTTTCTGGAGAAACAGCCTGAGGATGGCAAGGTAGCACGTGTTTGGTGTGTGGGTGTGTGGTGTGTGGGTGTGCGGTGTGTGGGTGTGTGGTGAGTGGGTATGTGGGTGTGTGGGTGTGTAGTGTGTGGGTGTGTGGTGTATGGGTCTGTGGGTGTGTGGTGTGTGGAATGGGAAGGGGGAAGAGCAGGGAGGACCGGCATGTTGTGGGCTCCACTGAGGAGCCATTTCCCACACAGATGAACAGGAAGGCAGCTATCTTCTGTACACTCTGAAATCCTGCTCCCAGGCCGAGGTCAAAGACTTTCTAAGTATTTATGGGGATGAGATCTGACCACACCCAAAAGTCCAAGCTAGAGGAAACACCACACTTCTAGCCTCATCCTTCCCATGCACCCTTTGTCCCTCCACCTCCTCCAGCCTGCCTAACAGGAGATCTGGTAAACGGAAAGGAAGCTGAAAGAAAAACCTATTTTATTTGGAAAATTGTGGGTGAGGGATGGTCACATTGGGTAACTAGAAACTTATTATCAAAAAGATCTGAAAGCTAGCTCTGGGGCTGATGTTTCCTCTTCATTCCAATGTCAGCTGCCCCCTAATTCCCACTCAGGGCTCTCAGCAGAGACATTAACTGTGGAGTGCAGCTCACAGGTATTTCTACAGCACGATGTATTACCTGAAGCCCTGCGGCATTCTTGATCAGCATCCTCTCTTTAAAGCCACTGATGAACATGCATGCACACACATGTGTTACATTCTAAGGATAGATGGTAGAGTCCTGGCTGCACTGACTGTGTGACCACAGCCTCTAGAGCAAGCTGTCGGCCACCTTGGGCCAGTTCTTTATCCTGTATCCTTTCCCCTGCCAAACACCCCTTCTCACGTAGCCTCTGTCTTAATCTCTGGTAGTCAGGGGTTGATGTTCTGATATAATCACACCAAACGTTCATCCTTGGTGCCTTATATGATTTCCTTTACTTGGCATTTTTAAAAAAAATTTAGTATGACAAAGACAAGCCCTTTGAATCAAACAGAAACAGAACTAAAATCACTTAGGAGCACAGGTCGGGGGTAGGTGGGTTGTTGGAAGAAAATGGATTTATAAATGTGAAGGTGATGTAGTCCTGACTAACAGGGTTTGCTTGCTGGATCTCACCACTCTCTGGAAGCCATCACCACACTGAAGATGATGACCTTCCCTGACATAGCTTAGAACTTTAGATTAAGGGTTCATAGCTCCTCTCCCCGATGAATCGACTGATTAATTTCAATTGTGAGGTAGAGTAGCTTTCTTTCTCCCACTTCATTCATGGCCTTACCTGGACATTGGAGCCTATCACTTCCTGTTCAAGGACCCTTTCTCTGCCCTATAGTTTAAAGAACATGCCTGGGTCCATGAAGCTAACCTATCATGCCAGTTATCTATGAGGACACTGACTGAAGAAGAAATGAAAGGTTTATATTTTGAGAAATTTTAAACCAGTATTTTAAAAAAATAAGTCTCATTTATTGTAAAGAACTTGTAATGGACAGAATGCAGGAAGATGTGTTATAAAAAAGAGGATATGAAACTATTTGTTTTTCTTGTTTTTCTCTACCAGGGATTTCTTCTTTGTTTTCTGAGTAAATATGGGCATAAATGTAGTTGATTATGAAAGCATAAAATCTAAAATGAAGCTTCATGGCTATTTTAACGATACAAAAGCTCAGTCAGATGTATATATATTAGGTCTGTCTGTGCAATGACTAGGTTAATATAGATATGCTAGGGTTTTTTATGAAGAGATTTTTCATCCTAAATTTTGGATAATGGAGGTTTTCAAGCTATATAAAATGTACTGATTTCTTCATGGTTGCCATCAGTAACAAAACATGCAGAACTAGAAATACATCCATATATGGAGGAGCATTTTAGTTTCTTGTTTGTTTGTTTGGTTGGTTTTGGTTTTTCATGACAGAGTTTCTTGTGTAACAGTTCTGCCTATCCTGGAACTCAGTTTGTAGACCAGGCTGACCTCAAACTCAGTGAGATCCTCCTGATTCTGCTCTGCCTCCCAAGTGAGCGGATTAAAGGTGTCCGTCACCACCGTCCAGTGGTGGAGAAGCTTTTTCAAACTTGAGGTATTATCAGAAAGTCTTAGAAAGGATTTATTCAGTTAATATACTGGAATAAATTAAAATACTTACTCCATGAAGGTTTGTTGGATGATTGACTCTCCCATCTGCTTGTTACTACTAAATCTTCTTATTTTTCTCCCAACCACAAGAAATCAGTACCCTGGTTTCTCTTATCCATAGCAAAGGGTATGCCAATAGATGCTTTATAGCCTAGTTCTAAAACTTCACCACCATCATCACATCTATATGGAAATGTGAAGTCTCAATAACATGGTAAAATTCTTCTTAAAGTAAAATAAACCTGTATTTAAGAACATCACTAAAAATAAATGCTATAATAATGGGTTGTGAGGGGGTGAGGGGTTTGGGAAAGCCTTATCCCCTCTGAAGAGTAGATGGGAACTGAGATGGAGGGAGATAGGGGTGAAAAAAGGGATGGAAGGGGAAACTGGGGTTGGTATATAAAGTGAAAATAATTTTAAATAAGGAAAAAGAAATAACTGCAACTTTTATAGCCCATGTGGATGCATTCCCCACAAATGAGAAGTTTACACATCAGCATGTTCAATGACCTTTATGGATTTGTATTTTAAACAGCTACATCTATTGTGTTGGTTTAAATGTCCCCTTTCCCTGAAAGACTCTTAGGTTGGAAGCATGGTCTCTAGAATTGCAGTATTGGTGTGTTTGTGGGGGTGAAGCCTCTGGTTCCCTATTGATCAGGAGAATGCCCTAGGAGGGAACTATAGTGCCTCTCTGGCTTTCAACATGTTTAGGTCATGATCACTTCCACACTTGCCCCTGGCATAGCTGTCTGTCATGATATGATAGAGCAGAGAAGGTCCTCACCAGAGAAGAACTGACACAGAAACCTGCCCCTGACCTCCAGAACTGCAGGCTCCTTTGTAAGTAGTCACTTAAGATATTTTGTTATCACAGCAAGAAACCGAAGAATATAGTGCTGACACCAAGACTCTTAATATCAAGGCAAACACAAGCTATGTGTGCCCGGGAGGCTGTGGCTAGCCTGCTCTTACCATGACTGAGATGTGCAGGATCCTCAGTTCCTCTTCTGCTGACTCATGTTGGGGTTCTTCTGTTGGATCTTGTCCAGGGAGACTTGGAGCGCCATCTTGGTGATGGATGTGGAAAAGCAAAGTACCATTCTCCAGCCATTGCTGCCTCCAGCGCACCAGAGGGATGTCCTCCGTATTCCCAGAGATCTCTAGAGGAAAAAAACCACCAAAATTGCAAGGTGAGATTTTGTACTAGACCAAGATTTCATAGTCCTGGTTTCTGGTACCAACAAACCAATTCTATCTGCAGAAAACAAAGGGTTCTGACTGCAGGTAGACTTATCACTGCTTATAAAACTCAAGGAAGACAAGAGATCTAGAGAAGAGGAGAATTATCCCCCACAGGTCTTTCTATGATAAATCTAGTGAGACAGACTCTCACCCAGTGAGATAAATACTGAGGTGAAAATTCAAGTTCTACCCCTCGTCCTGTGATCAATAGCATTCCTTACATTGCACAGTTTGAATACCCGATAATCCCCGGGGGTAAATACAAGGTTGTTTGCCTCTTGTAAATCTGGATGTGTGAGCTCTGCAGCAATTATTCCTAGATGCCCATGAATCTACCAAGGAGAGAGTCGGTAATTATTGTGCGGAGAACCAGCATTTATGGAGCAGTCCTGGGAGGTTATGGAAGAGCCACTGGGGCTTCCGGCATGTTTGTGAAGCCATACGCATAGACTGCATAGTCCATGAGAGGTGTCTGATAACTTGTCATGACAGGAAAAGAAGTGTTTTCACTCTTTTTTGTTTGTCTCTTCAGTTTTGCAAAGCAGATGTGATGTGTGAAGAAAGTGGTGTGAATTGGGCCCTGATCACAGGTATAAACACCCATTCACTTCTCAGGGATTTGGATGAAAGCCAGGTTATCATCAATAGAAAAATACCTAAAAACTCTGTTGCCTTCTGCACTGTAGTACAAGCTATGGTGATGTATAAAGTCCTTCTGTCTATGTGCTGCTTTTATTGGTTAATGAATAAAGAATCTACTTTGGCCTATAGCAAGGCAGAACTTAGCTAGGTGGGGAAAACAAAACTGAATGCTGGGAGAAAGAAGGTGGAGTCATTGAGAAGCCATATAGCCCCGCCATATAGCAGAGGCAGATAAACCACAGCCTCGTGGTGATACACAAATTAATGGAGATGGGTTAATTTAAAATATAAGAGTTAGCCAGAAATATACTTAAGCTATTGGCCAAACAGTATTGCAAATAATATAATTTCTGTGTGGTTATTTTGGGGTTGAGTAGCCAGGAACAAAAAAGCGGCCTCCTAGAACACTATGCTGCTGCTGCAGGAACACCCTGGGTACATACCCTCTTTTCTCTTAGTCCTAAGTGATATCACATCAGGCATCTAATACTAGAGAAAATGGATTAATCCACCTTTTCCAGGACTTTGCTTAACCTTCAGACCATGTTTCCTTTAACAGCTACTACAACCCCAAAGGGGGACCAGTGTTCTGTTATACACATTTTAACAAATCATTAGTTTACAAAATTTCATTTTTAAAAGGCATGCTTCTTCTCTCAAAATTTATTAGCTTTAGCCAAAAAATTATGACATAGATATAAAAAAGATTTAATAGACACATTTAGAATATTTTCTCATCAAGTATCACAACCACACAGAGGAAAACAATTTTAAATATGTATAGAATTTATAATTATCCTTCACTATTTATGGAAGAGCTGATATTATTTATTGATTTAGCCACTCATTTAATAGTCACAGACCAGAAATGCACTATGAACCATGCCCTGTGCTAGACACTCAGACACTAACTGAAATGATGACCTTCACAATGTTTTAAAGCAGTCTACCATGACTGAATATGCATAATGAATCCTGGTGGGACTGTGAGTGGAGGAACTGACCTCAGAAAAACAGACAAGAAGGTAAATAAATGGTCTTCTATGAGGAAAAAGATGCCTCATGGTAAATCGGAAAGGGAAAGGGATGACCAGACAACCAACGAAGGATACGGGGAAGGAACAGATATATCCATTCATCTTCTCTGCATGTCACTGAGGTCCTATATGAGACACAAGTCATTCGCCTACCCCTGAAAGGCACTGGTATGATGACCTCCCTCATTCAACAGCACACTCCCCAGGGAGAAGAGTACATTGAGACTGAGGGAGAGCTGCCGACAAAGAATCCCCCTCATGCCTGGCCCTTCTTTTCTGTTGCCTAAAAGGCTCTGTCATCCATCAGGCTGGTATATCAACTGAGATCTTGCATACGATTGGCCTAGAATCCAGGGAGCTAAAGAAGGCAAAGAGATCGAGAAGAAAAGATTTGCATTTCAGACCTGGGTTTCAGAAGGCATTTCTGCATTTGTTTCCGGTAGCGGGGATACTAGCTTCCCACCTCCACCATTCCTCTAAAGAGTCTTCCACATTCAGAATTGAGGAAACATCTTGGATGCATCCTCTGAAGGTAAGCATTTATAGCAGCAAGAGTCCAACAAATTGAGTGCAGGTCCAATAATCACCAACTCTTCCAGGCACATGGCTGTATATCCCGCAGGCACCACTCACGCTTTCTCATCTATCAATGTTTTAGAAGACTCCTTACAAATGCACCCTCCCCTACAAACTTATCCTCCCCAAGCCCTTGTTTGACCACTGCACAGGGAACCAAAGTCTGTATTTATCTCAGCAGAGATAAAAATCATCAGTATTCCAGTTCCCGCCAGTGCATTTATGGCGTAATCAAGCCCAGCTTCTTTTCAAGAACCATCTCCACCTAGTCTAAGATTTATCCCAGACATGTCTGGATGCCACTCAGCCCCTTCTATAACCATTCAAAAGGACGTAGCACCTGTCCCTTTAAATCACTTCACAAACTAGATTTTGTTTCCCAGCAGATCTTCATCAAGTAGGTCAGACTCATTACCTCTGTTTTAACCAAGCTAGCAGATGAGGAAGTACCTGAACCAAAGTCACCCAACCTGACACAGGACAGGGACAGAGAAACCATTAAATGTCTCCTACTCCTCTCACAAAGCAGACAACATGACCTCAGAATATGTAGACACACACACACACACACACAGAGAGAGAGAGAGAGAGAGAGAGAGACAGAGACAGAGACAGAGAAAACATCCTAAAGTATGAAGGCCATGTTGTGTTTTATGACCTTAGCAACTATAATGATCTAATTTTTTGTTCCAGATCTTAGTATTGCATGACTTATTTTTAAACTGAGATACAATACAAATGCCATAAAGTCACCTTTTAATTTAGTGAGATTTTGTGTATTCATCGTGTTGTATAACCCTCACCCACTGTCTAATTCTAGAACATCTTCATCAGCTCACTAAAAAAACTTTATACCTATGAACAGCTACTATATTTCAATGAAGAGGCAGGTATTGCTTTTCATGGCACTAGGCATGGGGGTACCAAAGAAAGAAGAGGAGCAGCAAGGACTCTGACAAAGTGCTCCATGGGGCAGTGAGGCTTGCACAGAGTCTGGCAGTGGCTTCCAGGCTAACCCTCTAAAACCCTTCTGTGGGTTAAACATTCCCATCCCTGGGAATGGTGATATCATGATTCTATGCAAACTTGGCTCACTGTAGAGGGCAAGAGAGGGAAGGAAAGAGGGCACCATGTCTGCCATGGGCATTCATCAATTCTTAGTTTCAAGATAATTACGAGATGATAGTTTCTTACTTGGCATTTTCCCCTCTCCTCATAGGATCTGACATGAAAGAGCTCAAATGCTAAACTAGCAACATATTTATATTTATGCTATATCTGGCTCGATCAGCTGATGAAAGACCAAATAGGACATAGTAAATGCTCTGCCAACTTCTTCACCATCAAGATCAAAATCTGAGCTTGGAACATTAACATAAACACAATGGTGTGGATGCTCCTCCCCCAAGAAGAACTATAATTCAAGCCAGTCCTGAGACGCCAAGGGTGTTACTGGGGAGGTGATAAAATGGTTACTCCAATCCAAAGCCTCAGAGGATTGCCACTGAGGCTCACTCAGGACCTTTGCGGCAATTTACTGAATGAAACAAATGCCAATAGGATCCTTTATGGTTATTTCCAGATGTCACAGCTCCCATAGTTGTCACAAGCATTGATTCTTTCAGCACACAGTAGGGCTGAGGTCTCCAGAAAGGGAAGGCTGTCCCATCTCTCCCCATGTCTATCCTTGCTCCTACAAACCTCATGTCTTCAGTATCTCCCCAAATCCTGCAATATGAAGAAAGCAGAGCGCCACTCCTTCTTGTATGCAACAAATATTACAGGATCACATTATGGGACATTACGTTTGTCATGGTTGGAAATCAAACCATGTATTCCTGCTCTCCAAGTGCAAGAAATTTCAGATGTGGCCAGGGTTAAGCGACAGCAATGCTGCGTGTTGGGTGAGACTTGGCTGGGTAAACACTGATGGGAAGTAAGAAAACGGTGGAAGATACTGGAGACACACTTGTAGCTGAAGGCCTCAGTATGTGCAAGGGAACAGAAGGATGATGCATGTTGTCAAAATCACAGGAGGTCTAGTTAAGCTGCAGGGGTGTGGGATATGGAGGAGAACCTCAGAGGACCTACTCTCAGAATCCAGATTAATGGCACTTGTAAGAGTCTTGAATGCCATGCTAAGGAGTTCACAGCGAGGGGAAAGTCATTCCCAATTCTATTAGGCAGAAGCATGAACCAAGATAATGATCAACAAGACTCAGAATGAAAAACGGCATTCTTCAGTGACTAAACAGAGAAGTAGGACCCAGGAGGACTAGCCATCATCTGAGGAACTTTGAACAAGCTTCCTAACTCTGAGCTTCCTCATCTCTGGGAAGATGCAATGATGTAGATGACCTTCAAGATTTCTTGATAACTTTGATAATCACGTGGGCACCAGAAAGCATGTTAAGTTTAATGTCACCAATAATGTCAAACCTCTTCTCAGGTCCGAGTCACCTGGGTTGAGAAGATGTGTGTATAGACTTCAAGATATACACCCAACATCACATTGTACACCAGTCTGTTGAGGAAGCCCCTCATCACACTGCTGCAAACATCCGGTTCCTACGAGAGACCGTTGGCGCTGCATGCCCCCAGAGAACTGTACTGGTGGAACATTGGGCAGGGAAAATTCTAGGAGAGAAAAGTTTGGGCTGAAA